TGTTTCAGACAAAATTCTCTATTCTCGCGCAGACGAATTTCGTGAAGGTATTCGTTTGTTATACCGGGGCGCCCCGAGAAGATCTCTGAATGTCTTTGCGATAAATCATAAAAATGTTGCCTTTCAGAATCGGACAATACTTCGTCAACTAAAATATTGTCGAAAAGTTCATTTTTTTTTCGTTGGTTTCGAACATGACATAATTAATTTTTTTCTTGGATACTGCTGAAATATTTAATGGTTCTCAACACCTACTTTCGTGAATCGCCCAAACTTCGGGAACTTCTAAACATTGGTTTTTGATTTTCAATGAAATGATTTTCGTTTTCAAATCAATTTGTGCTGATAACGAAAGCAACAAATCCACCCCGAATATTATTTGATATGCGAGATCCGGAATAATCAAGAATTCAAAACTTCAAATCGTGATATCGAAATAGTTAAGAAAACTTGTTTGGCCTTGAGGGTTCCCGTTACTGGGACTAAAGAGCATAACAATGTTGGAATACTTTTTCAAAAAAGAGCTAATTGTTCACATACATCTTCATTTAAGCACGAAACCATACTTCAAGTATCGATCAAAGCTCGGATCGGATATGATCGAAATCACATTCCTGCAATAAATCTTCTTTAGTATTATTCAAGGTTGGCACGAATTAATTCATATGAATTAAGTCGTGAATTAATTCAAATGACTTTTTTCAAACAAGTCGTGAATTAATTCTAAATTTATCAAATGGGAACAAATCGCATTATTACCTTCAATTCAAACTAGTTTAAAATGAAATATCCGATGGCATATGACAAATGACAACCGTGAGGCACCACACGCGGAAAACAAAGTTTTGTAAGAGCCGCTTTACAGTTTACAATATTTCATTGCATCCAATTGATTGCTCCAATTCATATTTCCAGCAAAAATAATATGTAGGCTTTTCAACACTGAATCGGAATTACCGGCTTGCAATGTCTTTTTGTCATATATTCTGTGTATTACTTCTCGCCGAGTTTTGAGTTGGGTCAAGAGTTGGGTAGAAGAAACCATGAGAAAGGCAAGAAAAGTAAGATCCAATGTGTATCTAATGATGCGTGAAATTCCGAAAATCTGACATGTCACCACTAGAATTGCACCAGTAATACAAATTACCACAATATAAATGAATATGTCCGGACTCATTTCTTGCAATGCATCGAAAAATTGCTTTCCAAGGTGACACCAATCCGTAGGCGCGCCATGAATATTGCTGCATTTTATTGAAAATAACTGTAAAGCGCCTCTATAATGAAGATTGCGAATGAGTAATATAATTTGCATTAACATCATTCTTCATTCAATCAAAAGTCTCAGTTTATATTCCAAAAATTGCATATTTCAAATATTTTATTGTCACGCTTCGAGATTTTTAACGGAAATAAAAACTTAGTTTTTTCGATGTTCTTGTATTTTGTTCAAGTAAATAGAATTTGATTTGTTCTCAAATGAATTAATTCAAAAAAGTCCGAAATAATTCAAAAAGTCCGACTTTTTTGACTTTTTTATAAGACTCATGACTTATTCCCGCTTATTCCAACCCTGGTATTATTCAAACATGCTTCGGTCCTGTAAACTGTTTCCCCCACGACCGGACCTACAGTTCGTGAGGAGAATTTTTTTTAGAATTTCCGTTTCCCTGAGCGTTTCCCGGAACCTCAACTTTTTCGCTCTCCCCCGTATCCACCGTGTTCTCCGATATTTCTATCGTCCTAACAGTGGCCACGCTCGGTTGATCGCGATTGAATCTCTGCGTATGCGTCAAATCACGATCGGATCTTTTTGAAAAATCGCGTTCGCGCCTAGACCTATAGCTTGATTTGAATGGATATTATTAAAATTTGACCTTGATGGCGCATTTTGGGAACGAAAATTAATCGGTTGATTCGTCTCATTTTGATATTGCAAAGCGGAATTTTGTGCCTCCACACAGAAATAGTAATCGGCTTGTCGTAATTTTTCCAGCAATATGGTTCCTACTAATACTGCAGATATATTTGGTGGAAAACTGCGAGCAAGCATCTTCATCAAGAGATTTTCCGGATAGGGTGGTATTAAATGTTTAGCCATTGCCACATGATTCATGATATGTTGAACAAAAGAGCCTTCGAAATAACGAGCAGATAGTAGCTTGAGTTTAGCATCCAATTGAACTGTTTCTAACTAACATTGCTCTACGAAGGCGCTTTCGAACTCATTGAAATTATTAAACACATGTAAATTAGTCTTGGTAGTCTTTTCTATGTCATTTTGTTTTATATTTGATTAAACTACCAATGAGGAAGCAAAATACAAATTCGAAGACACAGCTATGTAGGTATCCAGTAGCCAATCAACAGCCGAAATACAAAAACAAAAACATCATGTTTGCGATTATCAATATTATATACAGATATTTCAACCAATCAGAAACGTGTATTCTGAAATGAGTGGAATAATCATCAGAATCTAATCAAATTTTGTATCTGGGGGTTTTTGGGATCGAAGATTATGATTCTTTCGTCAAATTGGGGATTTCAAGATGGAGGATATATTATGGCGGACTAGTTTTGTAATTATGATCCGAATCTATTCGAAATTTGTAACCGGCGGTTTTAGGGATCGGAGATTATGATTCTTTCGTCAGAATTTTAAAATTCATGATGGCGGATCCTATATGGCGAACTAGTTTCGTAATTATGATCCAAATCTATTCAAAACTTCGCATCTGGGGGTTTTTGGAATCGGAGATTATGATTATTTCGTCAAAATTTTAAAATTCAAGATGGCGGATCCAATATGGTGAACGAGTCTATTAATTATGATCCAAAACTATTCAAAATTTGCATCTGGGGGTTTTCGGGATGGAAGATTATGATTCTCTCATCAAATTGGGGATTTCAAGATGGCGGATCCAATATGGCGTACTAGTTTTGTAATTATGATCGGAATCTATTCAAAATTTGTATCTGGAGGTTTTCGGGATCGGAGATTATGATTCTTTCCTTAAAATTGCACCTAGAGGTTTTAATTTTGACGAAAGAAGCATAATCTCCGATCGATCGGCTGATTTGCGGCTCCAATATGAAGAACGAGTTTTGTAATTATGATCTGATTCTATTTAAAATTTGTGGAGGTTTTCGGCATCGGAGATTATGATTCTTCGGTAATAATTTTGAAAATTCAAGATGGCGGATCCAATATGGTGAACGAGTTCTGTAATAATGATCTCAATCTATTCAAAATTTGTATCAGTGGGATTTTGGGATCGAAGATTATGATTCTTTCGTCAAAATTTCAAATTTCAAGATGGCGGATTCAATATATGGAAAACGAGATTTGTCATTTTGATCCGATTCTACTCAAAATTTGTATTTGGGGTTTTCGGGATTGGAGATTATGATTCTTTCATCAAAATTGGAAAATTCAAGATCTCAGATCCAATATGGTGGACGACTTTTGTAATTGTATGATCCAATTCTATTCAAAGTTGGTATCTGGGGGTTTTTGGGTCGGAGATTATGATGATACTTTTGTCAAAATTATAAAATTCAATATGAGGGATACAATAAGGACATGTTTTGTAATCATAATCCGATTCTTTTAAAAATTAGTATCTGGGGGTTTTCAGGGTAGGGGATTATCCAGGGGATTATGTCAAAATTGGGTACTTACAAAGAATATAAGAATACTAATATACATGCTTTTGTAGGAGGGGAAAACAATTACCCAAAATGTGTGCACCATATTTAAATATCTGGCAATTGAAAAGTACTTAAAATATTTAAAACTGGTACTTTATCCAAACTAAAAAATAGAAAATAAATAGTAGTTTAAAAACTAAAGAAACTACATTTTATAGATTTCAACTAAAAATAGGTAGAAAATAAAATAATTGAAGTGTGTTGATAAATATACAACATAGAAATATAATGATTATGGAGGTGCTAATATTTTCTATGTTATGTATTTATCAACACACTTTTATTATTTTATTTCCTACCTCTTTTGGTTTAGCTATCTATAAAAGGGTGTTTCTTTAGATTTTTAAACTATTTATCATATTTTGAACATATTTTATCTATAAACTCAATAAACCTATACAGTTTCCTGTAGTTTGATAATTATGTTTCATTTCAGTATGTTTTATTAGAATTATTGAAAATCATAACAATAGCCCCAGCAAAAGACAGTGAAACCATATCATCTTATTGAGAAATGTGTTTCCTCTCTGATTAATTCTTTCTTAAAATGATAAATGTACAGGCTGGTGAATTTTTCAATGCTCACCATTGTGATCTCAAAACTGGTATAAGAGATATGAGGTTGGTTAAATTGGAGAATAGCTGCACCATTTCCTGGGGACTATAATTCTGGGAAAAAATCCCAGATATTCAGATTGGTTCTTGATTTATATGGAGAAATATTATTGTTTTTCTGAAATTCTGATTTTCAGTTTTTTCCATATGAATCAAGAACCAATTTGGATTTTTTTACAAAATTATGGTCAGCAGGAAAAGGCACAACATTTCTGTAATTTAACCAACCTTGTATATCTCACTAGTTCCAAGATCCCAATGGTGATCATCGAAAAATTCACCCCCCTGTATATGTACTATATATTTTAATTACTTCTATATTCTTTGAATACTTTTCAATTCCTTTTCCAATACTTGAGTACCACTTCAAATACCTTTATAATAGCATTAAATACTTTTCAGTTTCTTTCAAGTTCCTTGAATATATTTTCATGATATTATTTAGGTATTCTGATTATTTCTTAAAATTCTTCAATTACTCATCAGAACTTCTCAATTACATTACATACTGGATTACATACAATATTTTCATTACTTGCAAATATATCATACTTCAAATTTGGTGTACACTTGTATGAGAGTTGTTTGCCTCTAGAGCCTTGAGCTAGGCTTTGGGGTGAGCTGTGTTTAAATTCCTAAATTGATTGGAAAAAAAGATTCTAATTTCTCACCTTTCGAATAATCAGCCTTGGTAATGCCATGCCTGTTACAGAACAAACTAACTTCACTGTTGCTCCATAATGAATATATCCATCTCTTACTTGAAACTCTTCACTTTCAGATTCATTATCATCTAAAAGATGTATAGTAAATGCTCCCCACTGTGTTGAACTGGCATGAAAATGTCCATTTTCAACATGCAAATACCTAGTTGAAACAGTTTGTGATCTTAATCTATTGAAAAGAGCTACTTTAGTACCACTAGCTATACATAGATCAGCATTTTTCAAACTCTGCTTCTTCTTTGAAGGCTTGGATATTACTTTGATTCTTTTACTATGAAACACACCAATATCATGTCCAGAACCATAAAACATTTTCACAGATAGCATAAAGTGTTTGCGTTTGTCAGAATCTGAAATATACAGAGTTTTTGCAGCACAGTACTGTTTGCCATTGTTTAAATCCAATTGTTGCATGTCTTGATCAGAATTTCCAATTCCAATGAAAGCACAAAGTTGAGATGCTTGTTCAGATTCACCTTCTCTAAGCATTTGTTCTTGGCGGAGTCTCCAACCATCTCCAAACAAATATATACATGGAGGAGGACAGAAAAATCTCTTCTCATTACCATATGATTTCTGAGCTACTTTAGCATGTAAAATTACAATCACCATATCAGATCTTTCTCTCAAATATCTTTCCATAGCATCTCTAGTGAGTCTTTTATCTTCTCCCCTATATCCACCTGGCACCACTGCTCCTGAAAACCTGGGGTACATCGCCCCATGCTGTGGGGGTGGTGTAGGAGGTGATTGAGCATGGGCTATGCCAGGTAATCCATACTGATGAGGCATTTTCCACAAAAGTTCAGCAGAATGGACAATTACTCAAACATATTATTTGAAAACACCTTGGAAAACACAACTCACTAATAAACATACTATTTCCACTACATGGAAATCAAAATATGGTAGGAAGGAATCCACCATTTCAAATGGTTGGCAAAAAATGTAAACAAATACTAAACACGCCGCTTGACTTGATTGTCTTTCCTGCAGCGGCTATTAAGAGACGTGAACGTGGGAACATCGCTGCTGTTTGGCTGATTCAGATCTTGTATCTCCACATATCCCCATCGGTTCTCCCCTCTTCGATGTTTACCCATGTTATTTTATTTCACTCCGTATATAATTATCATAATTATTCAGGAAATCGAATGTAAACACCTGTTTTATAACATAAATTTTCCGACAGTATCGCCAACCCCAAGCAAAACTTCAAAACGCACTACGCTTTGACGCAATGACTTAAAGGTGAATTCCCAATGCAGCGTTTTTGCTTTACGCGTCGCACGTCATGCAACCTGATTTGTGACGCTGAATTTGAAAAATATTTGACGAGATGAAAATATTCAAACTTTTTGGTGTTGAGGTTCCAGAAACCTTAATATTCATTGAAGCAATATAAATTCTTTCAACGCAAGATTTTTTATGAAAAACATTTCGAATGCAACTTCATTGAACCCTCATTTCTGAAAGTGATCTCATGATAAGTGAATCATTGCAGTGTCACTGAAGTAGGTACTTACCTAATTATCTCATTCTCATTATTTTTCAATACAAACTTCAACCACATCGACAATGATAGGTAATTCCATTGAGAACTAAACTAAATAATAAGAAACAGTGCAGCAATTCTCATTTACGCGTCACTAATCATAGTGCGTGACGCGAAAAGCAAAAAAGCTGTATTGGGAACTCACCTTAACAGCAGTGACAACACCCTAACAGACCTAAAGCCTTAAAGCAGACGCGCTCGTGACAGTCGTGACAGTCTGACATCTGATGACACCGTCACGACACAAGAAGTGCCTAAATCTTTCGAACGTGATATGTTTGGATATGTTAAGATTCGTGCATGTTTTTTAGTGAATATTTTTCGCAATAAAATTGTGGAGGCTAGTTCAGTCAGATAGTTTTCTGGTCCACTAATAGGATGGCGAAAGCCCACTGTTATCATTTGTGTAGTGATTTAGACCTTATTTAGGCTTTCTAGGATGTTTTTCCTTTTTTTAATTCTGTTTTTCTACGAGCAAAAGCGCATACGTTAATATTGTATCACGTGATTTACTGTGACCAATCTGGCAATGAGGTTTGGGAATGGTTTGAAAACTTCAGGCTCTCGTACGACACAAGACAAGTGGAATGCGATATAGGCGGTATGAGGCTCGCGCTAGAGCTGCCGCTGGCGTTGATGGCTGTCGCTGCCCGCTGTACATGAAAAAAAACTATCTAGGAAGAAGGTTCATTGGTTCTCTCAGGTAATTTTCGGAAATATACTCTTTTCAGGAAGAGTCTATTTAGGCCGAGTTAGGTTAGATTGTTGAGAGAAGTGGTCTCTTCTTTGTTCTCTCAAGTAATTTTCCGAAAAACATACCCTTTAGGATGGCTCATTCATACGATGGCGTATTGGTGCCACATTGAATGAGAATTATTTTTAAAAATCTTGAGCGTGTTTTTCATTCCAACATTTTGTCATGCGCATGAATCGAAGAATCCATCGTAGTGTTGCAAAATTCCGCTGGAATGTTGTTGGAAATCCATCAAACTGTTGTGATAAAATGCGCACTTTCAAATCGCTTTGCGGGAATCCAGCGGTTTGGAGGAGACTGACATGACAATTGACACATTTTACGTATTGTTTCTCGTTGTTTATTGAAAATATAGAGGAATTTTTGAATTTTGAGATTGTTGAGAGATTTGAGAATATGGAGAAATAAGTCTTAATCAATAAAATGTTATCATCTTCTTCTAATTCTGAAGATACATAACGACTGACACACAACGAAATCCTTTTTTCCATCAATGTGTTGTATAATCCATTCTTCCATCGTTCCAGCATAAATTTCATCAGAACAATTGGTGACGTCACGACAAAAAACCGCATCTATCAATGCGCACTTTCTTCGATGGAATGAAAAACACGCCCATCTGTTTATCTCGTGTCCTGTCACTGTCACTGTTGTCAGGGTTGTCAGTTGTCATGGTTGTCAGGGTTGTCAGTTGTCACTACTGTCAGTTGTCACTACTGTCAGTCTCGTTCTAATACTTCTAATGGGAACTTTGATATTTGAATTCTTAATTTCAAATTTAATTTCAATATTATAATATTAATGTGCACATCGATGTTAAAACATGTTTGTTATGAACTAAGAAAAATGGATGTGTATAGAACGACGAAATTACCAAGACAGTAATAATTTAACGGAACTGGTATGTATAATTTATAGTAAACATAGCACACAACATACAAGGGTTGTACAAATTTGACTATAATAACGAAAGATATTGGCCTAGTTGGTCTGAAGAATCTCATTTATATTCAAATTACATTCAATATAATTCAACAGCTTAATTATTATAAGTAATAATCAATTATATTATAAGTTGAATGAGATTATGTGAACATACCTTATAATGAAAGAAAGTGAATAGGCTGCCGACCAGTCGGCAAACTATACTTTTTCTCTAGACTGCCGAACATTTTCTGTATAAAACATGTACAAGCTCAATGTAGTATAAACAATGAACTGAATGTAAACAACAGTATAAAATCCGAGATAAAATCGGTCGGCAACCCAAAAAAAAAGTATAGTATGCCGACTGTTTATAGGTATATACTTTAATACTTTTTCTCAAGAAAAATTGAATATGATGCATTCAAATTCGAAATATGGGAGGAAAAGTTACCACAATCCCCTGTAGGGCACCACTGGATAAAATGTCCGGAAGGGCTTTCTGGTCTAAAACTGACCCATTCAATTTGTGCACAAAACTAACCCGCTTTTTTCTGTTGGTATTATAACTGTGAATACTCTGAGGTTCAAAAGTAACCTGCATACCTATACTCGCTCATATAGGTACCTAGTTTTCAAAAAAACGGTGCGAATTTCATTAAAATTGGCAGAAGCGTTCTGTTACAAATCACCTGGCAAACTACTTGATAAAAATCATAAAAATTCAATTTTGTTAATTAACACCTTGTAAGTTGAAAACGAATCTTTTGTGAATTTTTGTATACAAGATCTACCAGAATCTACTAATGGCTTTGGTCAGTTGCATTCAGGAACATCATGTCTTCTAGGTATCCAGAAAAAAGATGAGACATTTTCACAAAGCCTTCAGCCAACGTCGTTTAGCATTTCACTAAAATTGTGATTTTGAATTCTCGTTTTGGGAAACAATATTAGGAATATTGAATGGTAATTTGTTCATTGTCTGGGCCAGATGTGATTTAAATTCACCTTGGATATGATACTTGAAATGATCACAATCGGACGAAAATGTAAATAAAATAGGAACCTCTTTTCGTGCGCTCCAAGAGATAAAAAAGGTATTCCTATATCAGATCAGGTGGCAACAAGAATGATTTTGAAAATTCTTTGGCTTTTGCCAAACATCGTATTTTTTCACATAGTTTCTTATTGATACCTACGATATTGACCATTATAGCCAACAAGTCAACTATTTATTTGTTCAAGTAAAGTTCAAGTTCAATTTTGAATGATTTCCTAACTAGTCTCCTATATTTCATATTATGCGTTGAAATCTCTTAAGCATCCAATAACCAATGTACTGAAATAACGGACTAGACTTTTCTGACATCCCTGGTATGTAATCTCAGGTTGGATCATTTGGAATCATTATATTATTCTCCCTACTACCGTCAAATGAAGACTTGAATAATGAATGGAGGAAGGATGTATCAGGGTTATGGCTAGGTCACAGATTTATGGCTAGGTCGTGGGAAAATATCGTGTGGGAAAAATAGAGTGAATACAGAGTTGCCAAGTTTACATCTAGTACCTACCGAGACTTGTGGAATAATGGAATACTGAAATAAAGAAACTAATAATATAGATTACTGATGTTTATAAGAATGTTATGAATACTGGTTCCATGTTGTCTGGAAATTATTACTCCAGCCAAACAGTTCTAGACTGCGAGTTTGAATATTTCGTCGATTATCGTCGTTATACTTTTGTAACATACAATCAAGATCAAAATTTAAAGAAAATTGCATAATTAATGACTGTGATTTTAGGGTGTAGTCGTGAAAAGCGGGATCTTGAAATATTTTTTTTCTACAAACGTCAAAAAATGACAAGGTTCGCGCATTGATGACAAATTGCGAAGTGAAACTTTTTTTCAGTTTCCTACGTTACCCATGATACCTTGCACAAAACTGTTATGTAAAATATTTGAGATATTTAAATTATTTCATCTTAATGATCCTCAATCGAGCAAACATCCACGAAATCATTTATTTCTGAATGTTCAACAATAACTTTGTTTTATCTCTTGGAGCGCACGAAAGGAAATTCCTATAATGTTCGTGGATCATCGTGCGTACCTAGGGAGGATTTGGGGAGGCCTTTTAAGCCAGTTCAACACTATTTTTCATATCAAGCTAAGCGTATTTTTACTTCAGAACTATATTTTTTGACGTTTGTGGAAAAAATGTTGTTTGCAACTCGACCGCGAAATACTTTGGCCATCTCGATTATTCATTATAGTTCTAAAGGCCTCCCCCTATCCTCCCTAGGCACGCACGATGTTCCACGAACATAATAGGAATTTCCTTTTGTGCGCTCCAAGAGATAAAAAAAAGTTATTGTTGAACATTCGGAAATAAATGATTTCGTGGATGTTTGCTCGATTGAGGACCATAAAGTTGAAATATAAATATCTCATATATTTTACATAACAATGCGCGAAGTAGGTACTTCGCGCACTGTTTTACTTCGCGCATTGTTTTGTGCAAGGTATCATGGTAACGTAGAAAACTGAAAAAAAGTGTCACTTCGCAATTTGTTATCAATGCGCGAACCATGTCATTTTTTGACGTTTGTAGAAAAATTACTATTGTAACTCTTGGGATCTTGAATATATGAATATTCTGAATGATATTATGAAGGAGAATGCAAATTCTCTACTTCAGAAGATTTTGTTTTCAAATTCCTATTGTGTGTGTTCAATATATATAATTATTCAATGTTCGTCGTTGCCTATGGTCAGGAAAGTAGTTGTTTTCTGTTGAATAAACCGAGAAAGAATTGACATTTTCATCACATAGAGAATGCGAATTCTCAATGAATTTCTTTATATACAGGGTGTTCCTTAATGATATGCTAATAAGATGAAAGGAATATTGTGAGAACAGTTTTAAGCAAACTAGAAAAAGATTTTTTTTATCGCTTGGAGCGCACGAAAGGGAATCCCTATAATGTTCAGAGAACATCGTGCCCTCAGGTAGAGTTAACCGTAGACACGTGTTTCGGGCTTTTGGCCCTCATCAGTACGATGAAAGAAGTACAAAAGATAGGCAACACTTGGTGGAGGCGAAACAACAAATCGCCTCCACCAAGTGTTGCCTATCTTTTGCAAGTAGTTAAAGTGAAATATAAACAATAATATTCCCGTAACGGTGCCACTGGTAGAGATAATGAAAATTTTTGTACATCAGAAATTGTACCTTGATGCATAAAACACGTGTACCGAATTTCATGAAGATGTATATAATATTGTCTCAGTTATTATCAAAAAACTAATTTTTTTTCAAAACATGTCTTTAAGGAACACCCTGTATATATACAGGGTGTTCCTAAAATGCTAATATTCGAGGGGGTGATTCTTCAACGCATTTCAAAGTCTTAACTTTTGAGATACAGTGTGATAAAGTTTTGAAGAGAAATCAGTTTTTTAATAATAACTGGAATAAACCTCCATTAAGCTAGCAGAACCACTTCGAATTTTTCAATTTTTTCTCCGGCCATAATTTTAGGCTAATTTAAGGCTAATTTATTACCCTATTGCCGAATTTATTGCTCTTCGATTTATGTAAGAAAACGTGGGTTCTGCTAGCTTAACGTTAAGCTAGCAGAACCACTTCGTAAATAAAAGTTCAATCACAAAACTAATTATGCCATAATTTAAGGCTAATTTTAGGCTCAAATCCTAGCCTATTGCCAATTTTTTCGCACATTGTTTTTTTAAAAAAATCATGGGTTTTGCTAGCTTAACCGTTAAGCTAGCAGAACCAAATCTCAGATAGAAGGAATATAAAAATATTGAGTACACCATAATTTAAGGCTAATTTTAGGCTCTTCGTTGAACCTATTATCGATTTTTTTGCAAATCATTTTCTGCAAAAAATTTCCCAAATCCAACATGAACATGACTAACCAGTAGCAAACCAAAAAAAAACTTCAATCACAAACCTGATTATGCCATAATTTCAGACTGATTTGAGGCTCTGATCCTAGCCTATTGCCAATTTTTTCGCACACTGATTGAAAAAAAAATCATGGGTTTTGCTAGCTTAACCGTTAAGCTAGCAGAACCAAATCTCAAATAGAAGGAATATGAGAATATTGAGTGCACCATAAATTAAGGCTAATTTTAGGCTCTTCGTTGAACCTATTATCGATTTTTTGAAAAATCATTTTCTGCAAAAAAATCCCAAATCCAACATGAACATGACAAACCAATAGCAAACCAAAAAAACTTCAATCACAAACCTAATTATGTCATAATTTCAGGCTAATTCAAGGCTCTGATCCTAGCTTATTGCGAATTTTTTCGCACACTGTTTTTTTAAAGAAATCATGGGTTTTGCTAGCTTAACCGTTAAGCTAGCAGAACCAAATCTCAAATAGAAGGAATATAAGAATATTGAGTGCACCATAATTTAAGGCTAATTTCAGGCTCTTCGTTGAACCTATTATCGATTTTTTGGAAAATCATTTTCTTCAAAAAATTTACCAAATCCAACATGAACATGACAAACCAATAGCAAACCAAAAAAACTTCAATCACAAACCTAATTATGCCATAATTTCAGGCTAATTTAAGGCTCTGATCCTAGCCTAGTGCGAATTTTTTCGCACACTGTTTTTTTTTTAAAAATCATGGGTTTTGCTAGCTTAACCGTTAAGCTAGCAGAACCAAATCTCAAATAGAAGGAATATAAGAATATTGAGTACACCATAATTTAAGGCTAATTCTAGGCTCTTCATTGAACCTTTCATCGATTTTTTTCAAATAATTTTCTGCAAAGAATTTCCGAGATCCAACATGAACATGACAAACCAATAGCAAACCAAAAAAAGTTTAATCACAAAACTAATTCAGCAATGATTTGAGGCTAATTCAAGGCTCTCATCCTAGCCTATTGCCGATTTCTTTGCACATTGTTTCTTCAAAAAGTCATG